CAATAAAAAAAAAAAAAAAAAAAGATGCAAATGTGGATTTCCGTGCATCAAAATCAGGGTGGGTGGGAACACATTTTGGGGCAGTGTGCCGCCCCGCTGTGAGGGCTGTGGGGACGAATGCACATAAAGGAAACAAACAAACAAACAAACAAACAGGGAAAAGAAATGAAAAAACAGACGGAAAACATTACAGTGAAAAGAAGGAGAAGAATGGGGGGTGAAAGGGGGAGAGGGGGGTGGAGGGACAACAAAAAAAAAAAGAAAAAAAAAGAAGCAACACACGGCAGAAAAAACAACATTAAAGCCCTCACACACTTCACACAACCGTCACGCGGGATTACATAAAAAAAAAAAAAAAAAAAAAAAAAAAATTTTTTTCCCTACTCCTCTCCCCCTCTCCCCCGTTCATAGCACCCCTCGTGTGAGCACTCATTACGTGTACGCAAAACAAAAAACAAACAAGCGCCCGCCCCCTCCCCACAAACCACACCCCACACCCACAAACACAAACCACTCAAGCCGCCAGGGAGGGGGAAAAAAGCAAAAAAAAAGCAAAAAAAATGAATGAATGAATAAACACAACACGTTGAATTATAAGTGTAGAGTCACACACTTACAGTGAGGACCTTTATAAATATATAAATATTTATCTCTCTCTCTCTCTCTCTCTGTGTGTGTGTGTGCATGTAACGGTAACGGGACACATAACTGATAAACATATACGCGTATGTGTGCAGAGCTTTCCGCCTTCTTCTTCACTTTACCCAGAAAGATACATAACATCCAAACAGAAAACCCGCCACCCACCACCCGCCACACACCACCCGCCACACACACACACCTCCTTTAGTCGAAGATGCACACGCAACCAAACTACACGGCAAACAACAGTAAAAATAAAAAATCCATTACTTTTTTTTTTGTTTTTTGTTTTTCGTTTTGTTGTTTTCTGATAAATATTTCAAGAGACACCAGACCAAACCAGAAAAAAAAAAAAAAAAAAAAAGAAGAAAAAAAGACACACGCAGAAAAAGAAAAGAAAAAAAAAAAGGAAACCAAAAACAGACAGACAAAAACCAAAAAAAAAAAAAAAAAAAAAAACATCAAAAGATGTCAGAAACCAACAAACACAAGGAATTAAAGTAACAACAACAATAATAATAACAATAAAGGAAAAAAGAATCACTATCAATGAATGAAGAGAGAGAGCGTAATGGATGGGAAAGAAAAGAAAAAGAGAAAAAAACAGAAGAAAGAGGGGAGGGTTATTTAAGATTAGTTACACTTAAGGGGGGGGTGGAGGAGTGAAGGGGAAACAACAACAAAACCAACAACGGCAGCAGCAGCAGAAGTAAAAAAAAAAAAAAAAAAGGGTTGGAGGGAACGGAAATATTCCCACAACCCGCACAACAACTTCCTCCAAGAGAGAAACAACAACAAAATCAAGAGCACACACACACACACACAGAGAGACCAGACAGACACACAAAAGGAGAGAGAGAGAGAGGCCCGCACACGCATACCCCGCATCCTTTTTTTTTTTTTCTTTTTTTTTTTCTTTTTTTTTTCTCCTCACTTTTTGCTGCTCGCCCGCCCACCCACTGCTGCTGCTGCTGCGGATGTCTTTAAACTTCCCTCCACTCCCTTTTCCACAAGAAAAAAAAAAAAAAAAAACGAAAAGAAAAGAAAAGAAAAGACATATAAACTCTCATCTTTGCCTCCACAATTAATTGAACAAACAAAAGAAAAAAAGGAAAAAAAAAAGAAAAAAAAAAAAAAAAACGCAAACAATCAAAACAAACACAAAACTCAAAGCAGGACCGCGGCATTCCTTCACCTCATTTATATTTTTTATTTATTTATTCATCCTCCTCACGCCTTTTCCCACTCGCTCCCGCTCTCTTTTGTCTCCCGTACAGAAGAATAAAAGGAGAAGGAAGAAGAGGGAGCAAAGGCGTTACGGATGCAAACAAAAAAAAAGACGATTGTTAGTTATGACGGTACCAACAAACAACAAAAAGCCACACATAACGGTTCATGCAATGTATACTCAAAGAGAATACGAGTTCTGTTTTTTTGTTTTTTTCTTTTTCTTTTTCTTTTGTTATTTCCTTCTGTTATTGCTTTTGCAGCCGTCCCCATTTGGACAGGGTCTCGGTGACTAATAATCAATGAAAATTAAAAAACAAGAAAAAAAAGAAACAAAAAAAAAAAAAAAAGGAGAAAGAGAAAGAGGGAGAGATGGCAGTTTGGTTCATTGCACCCAACATCCCCACACACACACACAAATGTGACGATGGCCGGGGTCGCTGTGAACGCACAAAAGTGGCAGTCCTTTAAAAGAAGGCCCCGCAGCCGCCAAACCCCTCGCCGCGTGGAGGGCAGTCGTCATCGGGGGGGTGGGACGAAACAAAAAAAAAAAAAAAAAAAGCAGAGGAGTTAACCAATAAGTGCTACTATCCTCCGACCCCCTTCAAATTGGGCCGCACAATCCCTCCACACACCTCACGTAAATTAATTACTGTCTAAAAGTAACCGATGGCAAAAAAAAAAAAAAAAAAAAGAAGACTGAGATTTTGTTTCTTCTTCCTTTCTCTTTCGCAGGTGACGAAATGCCGCAATGCAGCACCGTCCCTCCGCCAATCAAAGGCCTCAAGTTTTTTTCGTTTGTTTTTTTCCTTTCCCTTTTTTTCTGCCGTTCTTTTGGTTGCCTTCCCCCTCCCTCTCTTTCATGCCTTCACTCATCCATCACGGCCACATGCAGGCTGCGTGTGTGTCTCTATGCGCATGGGGGCGAGGGATGACGGCTCAGGCCCTCTTTTTCTTTTCTTTTCTTTTCTTTTCTCTCCTGAGGAGAAGGGGGTTTGTTTTCCCCTCCACACAAACAAACAAAAATTGAAAAAAAAAAAAAAAAAAAAAAAAAAAATATTAATATCCGCAACGCGGTTCCCAACACGCAATAACGTGCTTTTTACATATAAACATATAAATAAATATATAAATATAGAGAGAGTCAGATAGATAGGCAGATAGGCAGATAGATAGGTAGATATGTACAAGCAATAACTTCATCTCCCCATGGAAGACATGCACAAAATATAAATATATTTTAAAAATAAAATAAAAACAAACAACAACAACAACAACATAAAAGAAAAAAAAAAGGAAAAAAGAACATACATGTATTTGTGTATACATTTAATATTTTATATTTTATATTTTAATGTGTACACATGTACGTAGAGGTGTACGCATGTACGTAGAGGTGTACGCATGTACGTAGAGGTGTACACATGTACGTAGAGGTGTACGCATGTACACGTGGACCGCAAACCCCCCCTTCGTCCTTACATTCTTACATACATGTACATTGCGCGGATGCACGGCGTACTTTTTTTTATTTTTATTTTTGTTAGAAAAAAAAAAAAAAAAAAAAAACAGCCGCCCCGACGAGAAGGAGCCCCCCCCCCCAAAAAAAAAAAAAAAAAGAAAAAAAAAACACTAAAAATTAAAAAAAAAAAAAAAAGGGAGATTAAAAAAGGGGGGAGGAGAGAAGAACAATGAAAGAAAAGAAAAGAAAAGAAAAAAAAAAAGAATAAAAACGGAAGGGAAATACACGTTGGGCGAGAGGACAAAAAAAAAAAAAAGGGGGGGGGGGAAGTCGCATGAAAAATAAAAAAAATTAAAAATTAAATTTAAAAAAAAAAGAAAAAAAAAAATGATGAATAAATCGACAATTGAGAGAAAAGAAAAGAAGAAAAAAAAAAAGAAAAAAATTTGCATAATAAAAAGAAACCAAAAAAAAAAAGAAAAGAAACCAAAAGAAAAGGAAATTGTGCTGAAAACACAAAATCAAAACCGCCATTCACCAAACAAAAACTCAGAGAACCCTCTCGCTCTTTTTTCTTTTTTTTTCTTCAACAGACGCCTCGCTTGCACACACTCACACACACACGGATGCGCAACACCCCATCCATCACGCTTAGCAATAATATATATATATATTGCATTGGTCATGTTCGCTTGCACTCATTTCCTCTTTTTTCTGAAAGGGGTGGAGAAGGAGGGGGAAATTGCTTCAGCCAGCATGCCCTCGCGATTCCCACACACACACACACACACACACACCCTCCATTTCCCTCTTCACCTCCCTTTTTTGTTTTTGTTTTTTGTTTTGTTTTGTTTCTTCTCATTATTTCCTTCTTAATGCGGATGTGTGCGTTTGTATGCACCGCAATTCGAGGGTGCGTTGTTCTCTTTCTCTTCATACTTCTCTCTAATCTTTTTGGTTCCCGAGCGTTGGATGGGCGGACAAGAATACATATAATTTTATAAATATATATATATAAATATATATGTGCATGTATGTATATTTTATCGGTTTAAGTTCACACAAATGCAAAAAAAAAAAAAAAAAAGGGAAGGTATTAAATAGATATAAATAAATATATAACAATTTCTCTTCCGGGCAGATGTGTGGAGTTCTCGTGACATGTTTGCCCGCACCACTCTTTTTTTTTTTTTTTTCCCCTCCCCTCCCTGTGGATGTAAATACTCACATAACATCACAGTTCTCTCTCTCTCTCTCTCTCTCTCTGTTCCTCTGTCTCTGTGCATACATATTTATTTATATTTTCATTTATATATGCGTGCATGCATGTATAAATGCGTAGGCGTTTATTTGAGAGGCACCTGCCTAAAAAAAAAAAAAAAAAAAAAAAAAAAAAGAAAAAGAAACGCAAAAAAGAAAAAAGAAAAGAGAAAAAAAAAAAAAAAGGGAAACTGAAATTCAAAGAGTGGTGATATAACGAAAAAAAGAAAAAATACGTTTTAGGAAAAAAAAGAAAAGAAAATCAACAAAAAAGAAGAAAAAAGAAAAAAAAAAAGTCACCGAACAAAACAAAACAAAAGAAAAAAAAAAAACAAATTATTTGTTTTTGTTTTTGTTTTTTCCCCCAGCCACCACCCACCACCTTTTTTTTTCTCTCTCTCTCTCTCTCTTCTCGGTGTTCATTTTTTGTTTGCTTTTCATGACCCTTCTGCCTCCTCTGTATTCCTCGCCCACACCTCCTCCATTTCTTTACCCATTTGTGGTCCTTTCCAGGTGGTGCGCCCTGAGTCTGCTGGACGCAGTCCCCTCCCTTCTTGCGCATATTTATTCTTCATAGAGGACGTCATACTCACAGACACAAATAAGGTCTGTCACAATACACATCCTATTAGCACTCACATGTATTTTGGTTTTGTTTTTCTTGCAACATAATACGTTTCCCACCCGTAGCTTCTTTGAGCCTTGCATTCTGGAGCTCCGTCTCATCTCATTGTACTCTGTACTTGCGACGCGGACTGGCCCTCCCTTCACCGCTGCGTAATCACAGCATATCGACAGCCGAAAAAACACATACAAACACATACAAATATATACACACATTTAAAAAGTACACGCAATGAAACACACGCACACACACACACACAAAAAAAAAAAAAAAAAAAAAAAAAAGATATTTCGGTCTAACACCACTCCACCCCCGTTTGCAAGTGAAAGCATATCCGATAGACCAGTTCCCCTTTCTATGAGCAATCCAACTTCTTTGTGGTCATCAATCCAATCGTTTCTTCCTCAGCTCATTTTCTCCTTTTTTTTTTTTTTTTGTGTGTGGCGTTTTTCTTACGAAACAGGTGTTAATTAAACCGGTACCCAGGAGGCATTCCGGAAGAAATCATCGAGGTGGTAAACACCTGTTGCGGCTGTTGACTCGTAAGATATACAGGTCTTGCAGAGTGCAGTTGCTGCTGAAACTGATGAGACTGCTGCTGAAGTTGCTGCTGTTGAGCTTGCTGTTGAAGATGTTGCTGCTGCTGATGTTGCTGTTGCTGGTGAACCTGTTGGAGCGGATTAAGAGTCAAAGCCATAAGATACTGCTGTTGACCGTTAGCAGAAACAAGCGCATAACGCTGCGGCGCCGAGGCAATGTTAGCGTATTGTGGCGTTAAAAACTGCTGTGGTATGGAGCCTGGTTGTTGCTGTTGTTGCTGCTGCTGCGGTTGCGGTTGCGGTTGCGGTTGCGGTTGTTGGGACACATACTGATGTTGACTCTGCGCCTGTGATGGTGGCTGCCACATATATTGCAACATTGCTTGGAGCTGCTGTTGCTGTTGCTGTTGCTGTTGCTGTTGGTGCTGCTGTTGCTGCTGCTGTTGCTGTGATTGTTGTGATTGTTGCGGCTGTGGCTGTGGCTGTGGATGGGGCCGTGGCTGTTGTTGTAATTGCTGTTGCTCCGTTTGGGCTTGGACAAGCGTGGGAGAGAAGCTGCCGGCTCCCTGGGAAATATGCTGTGTAGAAAGCATCATTAACTGGTAGCCCGTTGTTCCATCAGCGGTTCGAACAGGGACTAATACCTGTGCATAACCTGGCGGAAGAGTTCCCGTCACATGTTGCGTCTGAGACTGTGACTGATGCTGATCTTGCTGGACTGAAGACTCTAACGAATGCGAAAGGGATTGTGGGAGAACTGGTGGCTGTTGGTTCACGTTAAGCGGCTGTACCATGGCACCATTTGCCACCGGTTGCGTTTGCAGTTGTAGTTGCGGCTGTGGCTGTGGCTGCGGTTGCGGCTGCGTCTGCGGCTGCGGCTGCAGTTGCGGCTGCATTTGCGGTTGCATTTGCTGTTGCGGCTGAGGCTGAGACTGAGGCTGAGACTGAGACTGTGGTTGCAATACCATTGGCCGTGATTGTAAACCTGCAGGGAAACCATTCGGTGGCAAGATCTGGGCATTTGAGCCATATGTGGCGTACGGCAACTGGGGAATTGAATGAGCAGTAGGCCCTGGACGGAGATTTTGTGCTGGAACAGTTTGATGGTTTTGAGGCATCGACGTCACCCCGGGCGGCTGCTTCGCCGGAACGCCGCCCACCCATCCGTATGGCGGAGGGCATTCTTCTTGATGCGAATACGGCGGCAATGGCTTGGGAACCGCGTCCTGCACCAAAGCCGGCGCCATCTTCAGACCGCTAAGTTCACTAGGTGGGGCCGGCGCAACCGTAAGCACTGGCAAACGAGGATTAGAATTTTCGTTTGAAGTTTGAGTGGGTGTCTGTGGGCCACTTGATGTCAGTTGTGGATGTCCCCTGGAGTGGCTGCTAGAAAAGCTTTGCCCCTCTATTGGTTCCATCAAACGAGACGTCCTCGGGGGGTTGCGGGGAGGCGTAATGGTTGCATTTGACAATCCCTTCGCGCCTTGCCCGCTTCGCAACTCAGTGGCGCTACTTTTGTTGTTGTCACCCGTTGCGTTGCCTACTGCCGAGCCCAATATTGGCGAATTTGCCGCAGCGAGACTCTTTTTATTCATATCCTCATCGTCATCGTCATCTATAACCATCATTTGCCGCTGAAGGTCCTCTGTAATGCGTAGGAGCTCAAGGTCATCATCCTGCCGCAGACTGAACAGCTTCTCGTAATCAAAATCGCACATGGATCGTAACGGTCTTGCGCACAAAGGGGAAGTAACAAGAGGTGTATGTATATATATTTATATATATATAACCCTGTATTTTCGGCCCCTACGAGAGATATATCCTTTGCTGTCCACGCCGAGCTTATGGTACTAGTTTCTTTTTTTTATTGTTGTTTCTGGATAGACTTGCCTTTCCGCGCCTTGCACTCTCCCTTCCTTCGCTCCAATCACCCTCTCTCTTTCTCTCAGTCTTTTTTTTTTTTATGTGTTTGTGCGTGTGCTCTAATTCCCCGTTTGTTTGATAATACACACACACACCCCTTTATTGTTTGTTTGTTTCTTCCTCCGGTCTGTTTATTTCCCCTCTCGATGATTCAGTTGCTGTTTCGACGGCTCCTCTTTTCAATCACTAACTGCTGCTTCTTTTCCCTTTTCCCTTTTCTTTTTTTATTTGGCGTGTGTCGTTTCTCCAATCCCCTCTTTACTTTTCAGCGATGGTGTGACTCACGTGGATGCAAACTGCGTGCGTGTCGTCCAAATGCCACTTCAATCTCTTATGCCTCGGTGTATGTGCGCCAAAACTTTTCTCTCTCTCTTTCTTTCTTTTCCTTTCCTTTTTCTCTGTTTGTTGTTGTTTTGGTTTTGTTTTTGTTGCTGTTTTTTGTTTTGCTTTGCGTGTACTTTCTCTTACTTCTGATCCCTTTCTTTTGTTTCTTTTTTTTTCTTCTTTCTTCCGCTCCTTCTGTGTGAATTTTTTTTTTTTTTTTTTCGCTGGTTACTGTTGTTTTTTTGTTTTTTGTTTTTTGTTTTTTCCTTTTCTTTTGTTTTTTGTTTTTTTCTTTTCGTACTGTTCTTTTCTTATTGTTTTTGCTTTTTGTTTTCCGTATATATATATGTATATGTATTTGTATTTGTATGTTTGTTTGTTCCACGGCTACTGTCGTCCTACAAAAATAAATAAAATATGCGCTCGGGTCTTCGCTTCACTGTAGAATAAATTAATTAATTAATTAAAACAGTCAAAGACAAGACAAAAGAAGAGGAGAGAAGAAAAAAAAAAGAGTGAGAAAACGCGTTCATGTGAAGCAAAACATGCCACTTGACTATCGTAGGGCGAATCGTCATGTACAGAGAGGGAGGGAGGGAGAGAGAGAGGGAGTGCTGCTGGAATTTCAGAAGGACGTGTCTTGTGAGGTTGGCTGCCCTCCCCACCCTCACAAGAACAACGTGAGACCCCCTTTTTGATTGTGTCATGAACGCAACGTCAATAATAAACAAACAAACAGAAGAAGAAAAAAGGAAAAAAGAAAGAAAGAAGGATAAAACATGCGCAAACAAACCAGTCCTCTCCTCCCCCTACACCCCACACCCCACACACACACACACACTCTCTCTCTCTCTCTTTCTATCCCCCTTTTTCGTTTCGCTTCTTCTCCTGCGCACGAGGTACATTTATCCCAATGATAGGATAAAAAAAGAAATAAAGAAAGAGGACAAAAACAAAAAGAAATGATCAACGAGACGCCCCCGCATGCACACACCAGCCGACTGGCACAACGGGCTACGCCAGCTCGGGAAAGAGTGGGGCCCCGGCGTCCATGATGGCGTACATCCGGACAAGTGAAGCGTAGCCCTCCATGTCACCAGCCCGCAAAAGATTTCCCGCGTCACAGTTGTAAGGACTGTCTGGCTCCGGCTCTGCCAACAGATTTAAAATGGCGCGGCACACGCTGTTCAGAGTCCAGGCGGGGGACCAGCGACTCTTCAGAATGTCAAGACAAACGGCGCCGGTGTCAAAGTTCACATTTGGATGAAACACTTTTGTTACAAAATTCGCTGTGGGCGGAAGCATCGGGTAGTCCTGCGGTATGCGGAGAAGCAAACGGTACTCCCCTCCCTCAAAGGGCGTGTCGGGGGGGCCACGGAGAACCGCCTCCCACGTGAATAGACTGCCGGCGTGGAGCAGATGCAGATCCATGTCACTGTCCGGGTTAAGCGAGGCCTCCCGTAGTTCTTTGCTGAGACGCTTCAAAGCAGTAGACATTTCTTGGCCACCTTTTGTCTTCCCGTCCTTCCTACTCTTGTTGCCTTCTATCTGAGAACCTCGCTTCCCCACCACCAGCAGAAGTCGAGCAGCCGAGGCAGCAGGGATCCACACCGGTGATGCGTATGAGTGGACGCGTCACGAGTACAGTAATGGAAAAGAAAAAAAAAAAAAAAAAGAAAAAAAAGAAACTCTTCAGCAGCCACCGGCATCCGTTAAAGCCGTACCATCGCTCTCCCCCTCGCTTTTTGTTTTTGCTTTTGACTCACTCACTCAAAAAAAGAAAGAGAGAGAGACATCCCCTCTCTCTCTCTCTCTCTCTCTCTCTCTCTCTTTCCCTTTCCCCAACATCCTTTCAAAAGGCGTTTTGCACCCGTGTTTTCTCCACATTCTTGTTGTTGTTGTTGTTGTTTTTCTTCACATGGAAACATCATGTGGAGAAGCACACGCAAAACAAAACAAAAAAAAAAAAAAAAAATTTCAGAAATAAAAAAATGGTAAAAAAAAAAAATAAATTTAATTAAGTAATTAAATAAACTCACAACCCCAAATCAACTTTACTCATCTCCCCCATCCCCCACCAAATAAATAACAACTATCTATTTATATATTTATATATATATGTATGTATGTATGTATTTATGTGTGTGTGTATGTATATAAGTTTACATGTATGGGAATAACCCCCCAGAAAATAAGTTCCTGAAATGGTCTTTTTTTTTTTTTTCTTTTGCTTCTTATTTTTTGTTTTTGTTTTTGTTTTGTTTTTTTTTTTGTTTTTCCTCCTCCTCAATTAATTGTGCGCACTCGCAGAGAGGGAGGGAGGGAGTAGTAGTGGTGGTGGTGGTGGTGGTGGTGATAGTTTCACCCCCCGTTCCCTTCCCCCACCGTATTTGCCCTCCATCCCTGTCATCTCCTCCCTCCCCTCTCCGCCCGCTGCCCCTGTGCCTTCTGCCCATCACCACTCTGCGATAAGTGGTTGGTTACACTGCCGCAAGCGACAAAAAACCAAAAAAAAAGAAAAAAAAACTCAACTTATATACCCACAGACAAGCATACACACATCCTTCTATTTCTTTCTTCTTTCTACATGGGAACCCAAAAAACGTTCCCGTTGTTGCATCTCATCACACAGTAAAACACGCACAAATAATTTAAAAAAGAAAAAAAAAGATGGGGCAGGTCAACTCTCATAAAAATAAAAATAAAAATAAAAATAAAAATAAAAGGGGTAGATACATGCCACCTACACAATGGCTACCCATTTCTCTCTCGTTCTTTTACATTCCCACTCATACATAACCCTTCAATTTATATCGTTATTGCATCTTCCTTGTTTCCTTTGTTTTTTTTTTCTGTAATGCTTGGATTTCATATTCTCATAAATTCACTAAACACGTCAAGTATTTTAGAAAAAAAAAAAAAAAAAGTCAACATTGCAAGCCCAACAAAACAAAACAAATACACGTAGAAATTTTTTCCTTCCAATCAAAAAGTAAAAAAAAAAAAAAAAGGAAAAAAAAAAAGATTTTTTTTTCTTTTTGGAGGGAGGGAGGTTCATAATATCAATATTATTTAGGGTTGCTTACAGTGACGTTGCGCACAGCAGCGTGTATATTTATTTGTATCCGAATACATATATAAGTGAGAGAGAAAGAAAGAAAGAAAGAGCACAATCGGATACGTTACTTAAAGGGCACCCCCCCCCCCCCCCCCCCCTCTTGACACCACCTGAAAAACAACAACAAAAAAAATAAAATAAAATAAAATAAAATAATAAACAAATATTAATCTGCATATTTATTACCTTTGTATACATTACATTATGGCATCATGTCATGTAACATCGTGTACCGTTAATAATAAATTGTTTTATTTCCTTTCTTTTTCTTGTTGTTTTTTTTGTTTTTTTGTTTTTGTTTTTGTTTAATTGTTTGTCTTTGCCTTTCATTTTAAGTTAATGTTTCTCATCACGGATCTATGCCTCCGTGGCTTTGGGTGGAATGTTTGCATGCATATCAAAAAATTGTACCCTTTCTTTACAAGAGCAGTCATGCGCCTCTATACACGCACGCACGCACACACGCTCCGTTTTTTGTTTGTTTGTTTACTTTTTTGTTTCTCACGTGTCTTCGCTCCCTCATCACCCCGCCTCCGTTCATTCCTTTAAATTATCGCCTCGCCGTCGTTGTTTTCCCCTTTTTCTGTTGTTTTTGTTGTTTCTTCCGCATTTCCCTCCTCAAGGTCCATCGGAAGCTCATGGATTCTCACGGCTGAGGAGGTGTCTCCCACTCACAGTTCCCAAGCACGCAGGGCTGCTGCTCAGAAGGGAGCCGTCGTCATCTTGTATTATTTCTTCTCGCTCGTGTAATTGTTTGACTTCGATGCATTTTGGCGTCGCAGCGGGACCAAATAAAAAAAAAAAAAAAAAAAAGACACGTGACACCGCAACGGACCTGCCATCGTATGATCGTCATTTCTGGTGATTCGTATTATTGCTGTCATTGGCAATGGTGCACTCGCTCATCAAGCGTGTATTACTGAGCCGTTTTCCTTGTGTCTGAAGAGGTAGAATCACGCAGTGTCAACTCCCCGGACTGTTGATCGTTCTCCGCCTCGGCCACCACATGGGCATCACGCTCGGTAAGTGCATTGGTCGCGCTCTGTGCACCACCGCGGCAGGAAGGTTTTACCTCGCCACTGTTCCCATGATTCAGCGGCGGCGCCGGAAAGGTGGGTGCGTCATAAATGTCGTCCTCATCGGTACAACAAAAGTCATAATGTCTGTTGCTACTCTCGGTGTCTGTTTGGTAATCAACAACCGCAGCAAAGGGCAGAACAGTGGTTTCCGGTAATGGCTCTGGCAGTGTGGCTCCCGAGAAATTTTTCTGTAGGAAAACGTAACTGTTGAACTCCGCATCGACAATATCATGCCACTCCTCATCCGCCATGTTCGCAACACGCTGCCGCCGTA